TTAGGTTGCAGGTATGGCGGCTAGTGTAGAACCCAGGCAGACTACTTAAATTAGGTACCAAAAGTACACGTGTGGCTTGATGTGTCCTCATTGTAACTATATAACCTGAAGTTAATAAGTCTAATAAAAGTCTCTAGCTATAGAGGTCACCTTAATACCAAAAAAAAAAAAAATTTTTTAAAGATCTAACTAAAGAAGTATTTTAACAATTATTAGTATTTTAGTATTTATTATTTTATTGGCTAATTTTTATAGTATATAGAATAATCTAGAAAGAAATTTAGAACAACTTGATAGATAATTATTATTAAATAAGGTACAATTTGCATTAACCAAATATACTTTAAATTACCATGCAAGGTATCTCTTTTGATTAGTACCTCTCTTGATTTGTATCAGGTATATTACAAGTTTATTTAACATAGATTTTGTAAAATACCCAGGTACAAATCAAAGACTAACAATAATCCTATCTTTTTTTTTTCTTGCTAATGCAAACTATTTTTAAAAAAATTTTTATCTTGCAAATATAAACATTATAAATTTATAAATTTAAATTAAAATTTGATCCCAAAATTTTAGCCAATTATGTAATTAATGCTAAAAATTTTTTGAACCTCTGATTTATATTGATAAGCATCTAACCTATCTTCTCTCTATTCAACCAACTTTATTAGATATAAAAATACAGATATAATAATACGCTTTAATCTAAAAATTTTAATTTTTTTTTATTGGTATTTTTGGTCTTATGCTTATATTTTTTAATTTTTTGATTTTGTTTTTTTTTAAATTAGTATAGTAAAAATAAAATTTTTGGGTATTTTATAAATTTATCAAACCAAAAAAACATTATTGTATTATGTGAGAGGTCAATAGTGAGTTTATTTAAAATCTTTATAAATTTATAATTGTATTACTGCAAGATTATTTAATCTATTGATTTATAAAATTTTCTACTTCATTCTAGGTATACAGTAGTAGTATTCAAATTCCAACTCCTAAATATCTAAAGAATTTGGTTGATTCAGAAAATAGAATTGGGACAAAAAGCATTGCTGGCCTGAAGAATACAGTGGCAGGAAGTAAATCACTAGAATTAATAAAAATTTATTAATAAAACATAGTAAAAATTAAAATTTTAATTATATATAAAATTTTTTTAAATAATTTTTTAAAAATATATTGGTTAATACAAAATTAAATTCAATACTTAAAGTTTGTAAAAAATATTTTTTTAGATTTTTTAAAATTTTTTTACAAGTTATATTCTCATTGAGAAAATCAAAATTATAAATTCCATAAGTAATATTTATATTAATTATAGGAATTTGTAATTTTGATTTTCTCAATAAGAATATAACTTGCAAAAAAATTTTAAAAAATCTAAAAAAATATTTTTTACAAACTTTAAGTATTGAATTTAATTTTGTATCAACCAATATATTTTTAAAAAATTATTTAAATAAATTTTATACATAATAAAAATTTTTTTATTTTTTTTATTTTTTTTTTTTAAGTGAGGTCTTTTCGTCAGTTCCTTTATTATTTATTATGCAAAGTTAGATTACAAATTTGTTTACATAAATTTTCAGAGGAAGTAAAGATTAAGCTAGTTTACTTCAGACCTGAACCTTAGCTAGGTAGGTTAAAAACCTCTAGTCTATGAGTTGTAGTAGGCGTGAAGAGAGGTGTATTGATGTATGTAATTTAGTAACCAACGGTTATAGATGTATTGACCAATTGGGTTTTGTTTGTAGCTAGTAATTGAAGTAGTAGTGGGAGTGGTGTGGGGAGGATTGATTATTGTTGGGTTATAAGATGATGTTAATATTCTGCTAGGTATTCAGATCTTCTCTCTTATTTTGGTAACTAGTTTGTCATAGAATTCTGGTGCAAGTTGTGTGGCTTGGCTAGATGATTGAAAGGGTGGGAGCGTGGCAGTGGAGATAAATCCAATTGGTAGATTGCCATTGAGATAGGTATTATAGAATGCTTGAATAAAGAGATTTCGATTAGTAGTATTTGCTTTATGTTTTGACGCTATATAGTCGATGATTAGATTAATTATTGAAGTAATATTGGTAGAGTTGGTTGTGCAAGTAATCCAGTGGTTATCATCTTCTGGTGTTTGTTGACAGCGTTGACATATCAGATTCATATAAGTGTGGAGATATCAAGTATAAAGATTTACTCAGTTTGGTAGTTCTTTCATCATGAGCTTGCATTTGAAGTTTTTTGTTTTAGACATCTTGGGACTGGTGGACCGGTGAAGAGGTTTGTCATTATATTGCAT